CACCCTGTCCTCGGTCTGCCGGCTTTCTGCTGGTCTTTCGATTTATTGGCTTGTCGAGTGGTATGTAGTGCAAGCTTGGACTGGGTAAAATTTACCAAGTTTCCGCCAGTGGCACTGTCTTGAAAACTCTAGCACAACATCACAGCAGGGTGCTCACACCAGTGCTGTCCAGACGCAGGACATTGCGTGCCCATAGGGTCCTACCTGCTGCCTTTCTGTAGCCATATCCATTCCCTTTTTACCCCACCCCCCTCCTTAACCCTCAGCAGTCACTAAACTGTTCTCCGTGTCTATAATTTTTTCATTTCAAGAGTGTTCCAGAAATGGAATTATATGATATATAACCTTTGGGGACTGGAGTTCTTTCATTCAGCATAATTCTGTCAAGATCCATCCAGGTGGTTGTGTATATCAACATTTTAGTCTTTTTGCTGCATAGTCTTCCACGGTGCCAGTGGACCACACATTGTTAGACCAGTCACCCATCAAAGGGCACCTGGGTGGTTTCCAGTTTTCAGCTACTAGGAATAAACCTGCTGTGAGCACCTGCTGCCTGGCCTTCGGTTATGGTGCAGCCCTTTGTGGTGAGGGCCCGAGTGGTGGGGCAGAGCAAACTCTGTGAGGCCTCCCTTTAGATGAAGCATCTGCAATATCCCAATACATAATTGAACAGGCTCTCTGCAACCTGGAGACGGCATAATGGGCTACCAGGAAAGACTGTTTGGGCTCCAGTTCCAGCAACCTTTGAAAAAGCAAATGCTATCTCAGGAGAAAAGGAGCCAGGGAAAAAACAAAAACATTCAGTGGACATCAATTAATAGGAATAGCATCATTTTCACCAGTACTAAAAGGGATCACCAGATCAGAATGTGTGCTAAATTCAAGCACATTCTCTAAATTCCCATGTGAAAAATAAAACCTGTGATAGGTCTGCTTAGGGGAAGAACAGCTCACTTACTGCCTGTGAGCTGGAGTGTTGCCTGATAGAGTTTGGAAGAACTTTGATCTCCCCTTCCCTCTGCCCAGAAAGAAAATTCTTCCAAACAAGGGCTGGCCAGTGAAGCCAGGATACAGCATTGCAATGAAGGAAGAATTTTTAGTGTCTGTCTTTTCAGAGTCCTGGCACTTACTTCTCTGTTAGAATAGATTAAGACATGGAGACCTGACCTTGGTGTCTACATTTGGTATCATTTGTTTCATTTTATTTTTATGTTTGTTATTTGAGTAGATGTGAAGTGAGATGTTGTCACTTTAATTTGCATTTCCCTGATACCTAATGGATGTTGAGCATCTTTTCATGTGATAACTGGCTGTTTGTGTTGAATCTCTTTCATTTTTTTGAAGTTTTGGTCATACTGCAAGACTTGCAGGATCTCAGTTCCTTGACCAGGCACTGAATGTGGGCCCCAGCAGTGAAAGCACCGCGTCCTAACCCCTAGACCACTAGGGAGCTCCCTGAGTTGGTCTCCTCTGATTTTTCTTCTGCTGCTGTTCCTTTTCTGCCTCCTTTTGGATTGGACAAATATTTTATATTATTCCATTTTACTTCCTCTGGAGAAGGAAATGGCAATCCACTCGAGTATTCTTGCCTGGGAAATCCCATGGACAGAGGAGCCTGGTGGGCTACAGTCCAGGGGGGTGTAAAGAGTCACGCAAGACAGGGCACACACAAACACACACACACACATGCACACCTCTTCATATACACATTTCTCATCTCCCACTTATCACCTCACCTGAAATTTCTCACTTCACAATGTAACACACTCACAGACGTGTGATGTCCTTTATCCACCCCATCCTTTGTATTGTCATTTTCATATCATTTACTTTTTTAAAAATTTTTTTATTTTTATTTTTTTTTCCATTTATTTTTATTAGTTGGAGGCTAATTACTTTACATCATTGCAGTGGTTTTTGTCATACATTGAAATGAATTAGCCATGGATTACTTTTTTTTTTTAAAGTATTTATTTATTTGGCTGTGCCAGATTTTAGTTGTGGCATGTGGGATCTAGCTTCCTGACCAGGGATCGAACCCATGTCCCCTTGCACTGGGAGCACAGAGTCTTAGCCACTGGACCACGAGGGAAGTCCCTCATTTACTTCTATATACACTTTAAAAACCATCACACAAAGTTATTAAGCATGCTTTAAACAGTCAGTTGTCTGTTAAGGAACCTATGGGAAGAAGAAAAAAATGCATAATTTATGTTTGTCCATTTGTTGATTATTTCCAGGGCTATCCTTTCCTTCCCATACATCCAAGTTTCCAATGTATTATTGATATATTATTTTTTTTCACCCTCAAGAGCATCCTAAAGTGGGAATTCCAACCCCTCCCCCCGCCAAATAATATCCTAAAGCATTTCTTGTAGTCTCTACCTGCCGGTCACAGATCCTCTTTAGCTTTATCTGTTCTCTTTTTTTAGAGTTTTGTTTTTTTTTTTTTTTTTTGCTGGACATATAGTTTTTGGCTGAGTTTTTAAAATTCAGCACTTTAAAAAAAATTAAAAAAATAAAATAAAATAAAATTCAGCACTTTAGGGGTTTATACAGTGGTTTTTTTGTGTGGTGAAAAGTTAATGGAAATTCTTATCATTTTTCCCCTGAAAGTAACTTGTCTTTCTTGGCTGGATGCTTTCAAGACTTTTTTCTTTATGGTTTTCATCAGTTTAACTGTAGTGTGCCTAGGTATGATTTTGAGACCACTTGGTGTCATTTCAGGGGGGTTCTAAAGAGCTCCGGTACCACAGTCCTTTATGTCTCTGCAGAGAATACAGTGAGAGCAAAGTGGCAGATGAGAAGTGATTTATTAGACTAGGACATTGTGAGGCTTACAAGCAGGCAGACGAGAAATGCCATGCCCTGATAACTTAGTGGACACAGTTTTCTAAATAAAGGAAAAGTGGGGAGGAGAGGAGAACTCTGTCATTCTCAGGAGCCGTGTTTCTGTCATCAGTTCCTCCCCGGGTGGAGCAGGGGAGTTTACCTGTCCCTCCCTAGATGGTCAGGCCAGGACTGTCACAGCACTTTGGAAAAATATTTTCAGGTCTCAGTATGATGAGGGTCTTTCATTTTGAAGTCACCTTCCCATAAATGTTTTCTGTGTGCACAGAGCTTGGTTTGGGGTCACTGTCTTGTTGACACCATTGGGCAGGGTGCAGGCCCCATTTTCTGCTGTTGTTTTCTTGTTTTGTGGGCATTGAGTAAAAAACTTGTCCTAGGGGCCAAAGAACATGTTTCAGGGGCTACTAACTCACTCAGCTCACTGGGTAGGATGTGGGTCTCATGTCACCATTGTTTTGTTGTTTGGGGGCATGTCTCGTGTTTCTGTTGCAAGAAATTGTTGTTAAGCAATCTTGCTTGGTTTTGTGGTTAAGCAAACCTGCTTTCTCCAGTAATCATTAACTTACAGGGGTCAACCATATTCTTTTTACTTACAATCTACTAGTGGGATTAACTATTTAATCACCTATTTTGTCTCTGCATTCTGTCCCTATCAACTTTATTTGCAGGTATTCTACTGAAGTCCTGAGTTTCTCAATCTGTAAGTCAACATTTATCAAGTTTGTGGACTTCCGCCCTCCTCTCACTCTCTTCTTGGTGGGTCTCTTGGAATTTCACCCAGCAAGTACTGAGGCCAGCTGGCATGGGGCACGCACAGGGGACCCCCCAACAGACTTCTCATTCCCCATCCTGAGATTGGTGCTCTGCCTCACAGGTTCCAGCTGTCCTGGATTCTGCCTCCTGCCTGCTCACCCAGCCACAGAGCACTCACTATGCACACACGTTTAGCAACTGTGTTCACACTCAAACTGTTCCACATACATTTGCTGCTTTCGTAAAAGGTACCCCAAACCTACTTTCTTTTCATAAGAAATGTACATGCAGTTAAAGTAAGGTTTTATTTTGTGCATTCCCCAAAGATGCACAAGCCACGGAAGGCCCTCGTGGGTATGGAGAGTGGAGTGGGTTGGGGACGAAAGTAAAAGGCAACCCCTGCTCCAAGAACTTTTCAGTGCCATGGAGACAGGAAACCAGAGTTGTGGAAATTCAGAGATGGTTGCTTCCAACCAGAGGGAGAGGATTTGGGGGGGTCGACCTCCCAGGGGAACCTTGAGGAGGTGCTGGAGGGTTCAGGTTGTACTGAGGTTTATCATCGTGTTCTACTTCACGGCAGCAATATTACTTCATAAAAGCAGAATAACAAGAAACACAAGACCAAGAGTTTTGCAAGGGGTAACTACCATTTGCTCAGTGGTGGAAATTAACCCGGTGTCTTAACTCATCCCCCCAGGCATCAGATCTTTGGTAAAGATAACAATGCTAGGTTACGGGCGACAGTCCCACACCGGTGAGAAACTGACATGCCCATGTCCACCTGCTGTTCTTGGTGACTCCCGGGTCCATGTGTCAGTGTTAGTGACCCCAGGTGGTTTCCATGTCCGCACGCCGCTGTCAGCGATCCCCGAGTCCGTCCTCGGGGTCGGGTACGCGGCGTGGGGGCAGGGTGGGGACGATATTCCTGGGCGCCCCACCGCGAGTTTGGGCTGCCCTCTCCAGGTCAACTCAGCCTAACAGAGGGTCCCGGCTTGGGAAGGGGGCTCTCGGCCGTCCAGCCTCTACGTTAGGGGCTCAAGCGGGACGCACAGCTGCCCACGGCGGGTTCATGGGTGCTTCGTCCCCCAAAGTGCAGAGTAGAGCTCCACCAATGCTCGCGCAGTCTAAGCGACCGTTCCGTCGCAGGAATGAGCCCGCGCGGCGGAAATGCCTCCCCTTTAAAGCGCGCGCCCCGGAAGCGGTACCCGCCGCGCGCCGGCACCGGAAGTGGATGCGGCCGGCGGGCGGTGGCGGCGGGCGGCCGGCTCTGGAGCTGGTTAGTGCTGCCGGGCGGGTGTCGCTGTGGGGGTTGCGGCGCCGCTCAGGCTTGGGCTGGCCCGGCGCGCCTCCGGCTGCCCATGGGGCGCGAGGGGCCGGGCCGGTGACGCCGGACGCCCATGGACGCCCCTGAGGAGCCGCTGCCTCCGGTGATCTACACCATGGAGAACAAGCCTATCGTCACCTGTGAGTGCCCGGCGGCGCGGGAGGGGGCGGCTGCCGCGGCGGGTAGCGAGGCCCAGGTCGCCGGCTCCTCGGCCCCCGCGCTCCGGCCCGGCCACTTCCTGGAATAGAGGTGTGGTCGGGGCGGCGGCTGCGGCGGGGCTCTGACCCCGCGGGCGACCTCCGACCTCCCCGGGGCCGACCTCCTAGCTCTCCTGGAGGCGACCTCTGACCTCCCTGGGGACGCCCTCCCGGTTGTCCCCTGCAGTTGATAGCGCCTGGGACGCGGGGGGGCCCGTACCGAGGTGCGCCCGGACGGGCCCCCGCCGTGAGCCCCGTCCGGCCACAGAGTCGGCCGCTTGCCCCTCGCGGCCCGTCCTTCCCGGCGGAGACGGTCTCCTCCGGGCACACTGTTCCTTCCGACCCCGCAGCGGGTCTCCCGGCGCTCGGTCGCGAGCGTGGACGAAGTTTGCGTGCGGCTGTGATGTTAGGAGACGGGGTGTGCACTTCAGGAACGTGTTAAGTGGTGAGACTCAGGGTGCCCGGCAGAGCCGTGCACAGCCGGCCCTGCCTGGCTGGGACCGCGGGCCAGGACTCATCCCCGCCCGCAACGCGGGCACAGAGCAGAGACCCATTTCACAGATGGCGTGTAAAGGTTCGGCGAGCTTTCCGCGCTCTGGACGGAGACTGGTGTCTTGATGTTTTGGCTGTCGGGTTTTTTTTTGGTGTCACATTTACGCACCCACAAAGGAACTGTTTTTCTGTTACAAAATTCCCTCTAATATTTACAGTTATGACTTAAGAATTCAATACTTTCAAAAGCACTGAGTTTATGGAAAGTGTTGAAATGTTGGCTGACGTTTTGCTGACTTGCAGAGAGATATTTCAGACTACTAGGAGTTTTGACTTTTGGCAGTGCTTTTGTCGTCAGTTAATTTTTTTCAGATGGTCTTCTGTACTTGAAAGGAAGCACTCTTTCTATAGCAACATCCGGGGGCAGTTACTTAGGCCATAGTCGATGGTTCTGTAGGTAGAAGATCCTTTGGAAAGTTTAAGTTTCTCTCTCTCATTCTTTTTCACTTTTTTTTTCTGATTAATGGATACTCTTCTTGTGTGTTTCCTCTTGTCATATCCCTGAGAAACTGTATATTTAAAGTCGAATTTTGTTACTTTATGTTTAGCTGATAAACTTTCTTAGGAAAATGGACTGTGTCACATCTGAATTTAGGCACTTGCATAATTCAGCCAAGTTTTCTCTTTTCACCAGGACGCTTACCAACTGAAAGTCTTACTCCGGAGGGCACCTTCAGTCTGAGAGAGCAGGTGGATGCAGTGGTTATCTGGAGGCCCTGCAGTTAATCCCCAGGTGCTATCTGTATCCTGAGGGAAGAGGAGCCAAATTTGGGTGGTGCTCGTGTTCGGGGTCGGTGTCTCCCAGATCCTGGAGACTTCTCCCTAAGTGCCCTCCATGCTCTGAGTGCTGGATCAATATTACTTGTGGAGGCATCCAGACATCTCATTATATGTTATGGCCTTTAGCTTACTTTTTCCTAGAAGTGTTTCGGTAGGTATTGTGTAAATACATACCTGAAGAGAAGGTTCCTAAAGCTCTGTTGGTCCAGCCTTGACTCAGTGGGGAGATTGTTATCCTCATGGTGTTAGAGATACGTGTGACATATTTAGTTTCACTTCACGTACATGACAGACAACTCTGAGAAAGTTTCCTTTCCTACAGATTTATTGTAAAAGCTACACTGGTGGAGGTTTTTCCGGTGTTTAAAGCTGTTGTCTGTACTGATGGTATCTCTGTTTTCTTTTTTTTTTTTTTAATCTTTTCATTGTTTTAAAATTTTATTTATTTTTTAATTGAAGAATAATTGCTTTACAGAATTTTGTTGTTTACTGTCAAACATCAGCATGAATCAGCCATAGGTAAACATATGTCCCCTGACTCTTGAAACTCACTCCCATTTTTGTTTTTTTGTTGTTTTTTTTTTTTTCATTTATTTTTATTAGTTGGAGGCTAATTACTTTACATCATTGCAGTGGTTTTTGTCATACATGAAATGAATTAGCCATGGATTTACATGTATTCCCCATCCCGGTCCCCCCTCCCACCTCCTTCTCCACCCGAACCCTCTGGGTCTTCCCAGTGCACCAGGCCCGAGCACTTGTCTCATGCACCCAACCTGGGCTGGTGATCTGTTTCACCCTAGATAATATACGTGTTTCGATGCTGTTCTCTGGAAACATCCCACCCTCGCCTTCTCCCAGAGTCCACAAGTCTGTTCTATACATCGGAGTCTCTTTTTCTGTTTTGCATATTCAGTATCTCTGTTTTCAGAGGCACAACCGTTCAATTCATTGGCGTCTCAGAGAAGAAAGCGGTTTCCGTAAACTTTCAGAGAAAGTTAGCTTGAAAGATAAAACAGATCCTTTTAAATTGAAAGATTTTTTAACTTTTAGAAGAGCTGACTTCATATTCACACTTGAAATTCCATTTTGGTGTGTCTGGACTGGAGCTCCGGTAAGCACTTGCTGTCCTGGTTTTGTGTCATACTTTCTTCGTTTTGTTCCATTCCTTCTGCGGCACATGTTTGATGGGAGCCCCTAGTCTAATCAGTGTAGATAAAGGTGGTAGAAAAACTGCTTTAAAAGTCCATCTGAAGGCTTGGCTGTTGTGTACATAGCCCCCTAGCAGCATTTTAATTTTCAAAAATCTGTTTAATACTTTTTCCAGCCATTGCTCCCTCAGGAAGTCTGTGTTTGTTCATTGTAAAAATAACAGCAGAGTTGATAATTTGTTTTCAGGTTTTTTTTTCATAGAATTTAGAACATTTTACTTTGAATGAATTGTGTATCAGCCTTTCTGAGAAGAATGTAGAATGTTACTGGTTCAGATAAATTTAAGAACTGTTTATTTGCAACTGTGAGAAGAGGGGAAAGTCCCCAGAGATTAGGGGTAAACAGGATACATCATTACTTGAAAACCTTGTTAAATTATTTTAATAATATTCTGAAGCTGCCTAGAAGTTTTAATGACTTTCAGTTCATAATTAAAATTTTCCAGTGCCACTGCCCAACTCCCTCTGGTGCAGAGTGACCACCTTAGTGGAGGATCTGCTTAGACTTCCAGGGTTGGAGAAGCTTCTCAGTTGTTGGGAGATGTGTCTGAAATGCCCGGGGCTGTCTCCAAGCACTCAGTGGCGCTGCTGGTGTGATGACGTTGGGTGATGAGTCACCTGACCCTAGCAATTTGAACACCTATAGTATAATTTACTAATCATGAAAGATGCACCGTGAAACTGAAACTAATTCAGCAGATCCATTCAGTCTAAATTTAAGTTGGAGCTTCGATTTTTTTCTTTCAGCCACCGGATCAGTTCTCTGCTTTGGAATAAAGACTGGGGTTTCTGATCTAAGGATACATTAGGAAAGAGGTTTCCTTTCCAGCTGTCTCGTTTAGCAGGCAAAGCTATGGTAATTTCACTGATTTGTTGGTATCCTACCCAGAATTGTTGTTCAGTTGCTAACTGAACAGTTGTGTCCGACTCTGTGACTCCATGGACTGTGGTACGCCAGGCTCCTCTGTCCTCCACTATCTCCTGGAGTTTGCTCAGATTCATGTCCATTGAGTCAGTGATGCTATCTAACTATCTTATCCTCTGCCACCCCCCTTCTTTTCCAATGAGCCCACTCTTTGAAAAAAGGTGGCCAAAATACTGGAGCTTCAGCATCAGTCCTTCCAATGAATATTCAGGGTTGATTTCTGTTAGGATTGACTGGTTGGCTCTCCTTGCAGTCCAAGGGACTCCCAGGAGTCTTCTCCAGCCCTACAGTTCAAAAGCATCAACACGAGATTGTGTAGTGTCTGAAAAATAGCAGGCTCATCCAAACGATGATCTGTCCTCACCCAGTTGCACTGGATGTTGCAGTTTTAATTTTTCTCAGTCTCTATATTTAGAGTTCTGGATCTGACATTATGAATTTTCATAGTGGGGGAAAAGATAGAAGAACTGAGCAGATCTATAACACTTTGTACCTGGCTGGAGTTTGTTTTTCTCTCCCTGTGGGTTAAAGTTTTTAAATTCACACGTTGTGATTTTCTTCCAAGCATGAAACTGGCGCTTGTGATTTAAGCACTTTCAGTTTCATTGTTGGAAAAGTAACTTAAAATGTCCTCTTTTTAAACTGATATGCAGGTGTTGGTCCACAGTGCATTCTTAAGTTGAGAAGAGGGGGGATCGTGTTTCCTTAGGAGACCTCAGTTCCTTGGGCCATGGCTGGAGGTTGGGACTGATGAATTACTGCCTGTGTCCCCTGGCTTTAGAAGGTGCTGCCACCTGTGCACAGGTAAAAGCAGGCACGGTTTACTGTGTGATGACTTCCTCACCTGTGACCCAGGGTCAGGGTGGTGCCAGTCGCAGAGTTGATAGGGGCTTGAATGAGTATGTGTAAAGCGCTCAGAAGAATGATGAATGTGCAAAAAATGTTAGCGTCTCAGCTGAGATTCTTCAGTTTTCTCTCTCCATGGTGGCTTTAGTGTCTTTAGTAATTTTTTCATGGCACTTATAGACTCAAAAGAATATTTAGTAATTCCATTTATTAAGTAAATTCAAGTAATTTTATTAAGTATTATGTCTTAACAGAAGTTATTTGAAAAAAAATACACATAAGTTGGAAGAAAATTTTTTATTTCTTTCTTAGATAACCAGAGTAGCATACTATTGGGATGGTTGCATCTGTTGCACTGCACAACTTCTCTAACTAGAGGATCAGATTGGACGCAGTGGCTCGCTTTACTTGGGGTGGGGGTGGAGTGGTACTTGCCTTTCATCACAACAGCTACCCTGTTTTGTGATGATAATGATGTCACTGAAAGAAATACAGCCGATGTAGTATTGAAACTGACTCTCCTGGGGCCTGGGATGGCTTGGTATTGCTGTTCCCCTTGTAGATTTGGGACATCCTTTGGGCCACTATGGGTTTGCTGCAGTACCCTGGGGTCCCTGGGTAAGTTTGGG